TTATGTCTTGATGATAGAACGTTTTAAAATGGTTTAATTCAACAGTCTATATGAATGAATTAAGCCATTAATTAATCAATATAATTACGTCACAAAGATTAAAGTGAATAAATGAAATCATTGCCTAAGATATTTTGGGCCAAGTAAGAATACGTTTTTTAAAGATATATAACTTCGGACTTTTAGTCATAAAGGTAGTCTTCATTGCAAAAAGAAGTTTAAGAAGTCTGGGCCTGTATTCCCCATCTTCATCATGCTCTTAGGACTCCTAAATATCGATACAATTCTTATGTGAAAATAGGCGCTGTATTGAGCTGATAGCAGGCCAGAAATGCATCAGACAGCATTGCTTATTATTTTCTTGTTTGTAAGGTTTGCAATATTCCATTAAATCATATACTTGGATACCTGTTTGCATCGAATTCGTGGTAGAGAGTCACTGTAGTCACACTTGGGTGGCTGGGTGGTGTGTCTCCTGATGTTGCTGAGCTGCTCGTAGCCAAGGTAGTAAACGTGGCTGAACGTTTGAGCTGAAGCCGAATTGGCCTTGGTTGAGGAGATTCTTGAGTTGACGATGTAAATGATGGCAAGGGAGAGGAAGTGGAAGAATCAGATATTGAGTCCAGTTTGCCAAGAATAATTGGTTGGAGTAGATGACATGATGAGGCCAGGTGTTCGGCACGATCGTATACTGTCTTTGCACGCTGATAAAGTTCATCAGTGTGGAAGCCGGCATCAACAGCGAAGTCAAGCTTAGCCTATGTAGAGAAAGAATGATAATAATATTATAATGTATTAAAGAAAAGGAATTCGCTTCTGACAATGATTAGAAGACATGAAAATTCAGCAGGGTCCAAAAAAATGCAAAGAACAATATACAAAGGATTGAGTAAAAACATCACAGTAAAGTTCAACTATGAGAATATGAAGACCAAGATGATGTGGCCTTTGGTATGGGCGAAGTCTCGATTCAATGTATAGTAAGCCAACCTGGTTTTCGCAACATGGTTGTTGTCAAAGGGACTAAGTCGGACGCACCTTGTTAGAAGTCCTTTGTTATAGTAGTTATCATAATTCCCAGCGTCGGACCGTAGAATTGGTACACTCCCAGACGTTCCACCGACATCGTCAGTGAGTCTTATCATTCTCAGCATCAAGGTACAACTAGTCAAATTACAAAGCTTGTGTGCGAAGAGCACCAATTATATTGTGCAGAATTTGACAGGGAAACGAGTTCATTTCGTTAAATAACTAAGAGCAATCAACTCGTAAAAGAATGAAAAAAATTCCAGTATTTTGCAAAATCAATAACGTTCTTCAACAGAGTAGAGCAGAACACACAAAATAAATGAATCCTTCGTTTGGAAAGCTATTTATAACCGAAATGATCACTTTTGCTTCGCAAGTTGAACTCTACGTAATAAACTGAGAGCAAGAGATATCAATAAGTTATATGAGGTCTTATACTATTTATTGTTTTCATAATAGTGATATTCTTTCCTAATGGAGCAAACTGTCTTCGAGGAAATAGAAGCCCTGATTTGTGTCGCTGCGAAGTTGAATTATTTAAAATGAAAAAGCGGGAAGTCAGCTCATGCATGAGGTTCGTCAACCCAACCGTGGAAACGGACTTTACTACCTGGTCAGAGTGATGAGTGTTCTGAGTGAATGATTAGTAAAACTTGGAGTAGCCAGAGAAAAGATGGTAGAAATTCCCTTGCTACTATAGAAATCGACTGAGGATTCACAAAAAGACATCGAAAAACACTTTATATAGAGATGAATGCAGAAACACTCCCTATAACTTAGTTGACAGGATGATAAAGTGAGAATATAAACGGGAACTTTAATTCTCTCCTGTCTAGACTTAGTTTATATAATGTATAAGGAAAATCTTGAGTAGCCCTTAGTGGTCGCCCAGAAGAATGTCTTAAAAGTGATAAAGAATAAAATGCTTAGAAGTGATATCCTCATTTGGCCAACTGGAAGAGGAACTATAGGTAGCTTGAACCGAGGGAAATATTGTGTGGACAGACGGAGGCAGAGGCCTCGCGATGTCGAAACTAGCAATTTCGGGGCTCCACAGTCGAGCGGAAAGTCGATAAGCCTTATTGGCTGGACACATCTCGGGAGAGGTTTGTTGCAGA